CCGAGGAGATAACAGATCGAGAGAGAAAACGGTGGTGTGGCGGTCGGCCGATGGCTGTGTGGTGAAGGAAGGCTGGAGTGGAGAGTGAGAGAGAGACGATAGTATGGTGTGGTGAGGGAGGCTTAGGGGCTAGAAATGAGGGATCGATGAGGGAGGCTCAAGTAGGGACAACCAGATAGGGGCTGCGCAGTGCTTCCGCTTCGATTCCAGTTCGATGGAACAAATGGAGACGGAAGTGAAGTGAAGTTAGTGAGATCAGACCTAAAACAAATCAACGGCATAGATTAAATCTAAAACAATGAACAGTTCAAATAATTTTCTTATAATTAAAAAATTATATATATATATATATATATTTTTTTTTTTTTGGGTTCGGTATGGGAATACTGAAAAAATGAAATGCAAAACCGAATCCCATACCGAAACTTTCAGTTTGGTTTGGGATTATATCCTGAAAATTTCGGGAATTTTGGTTTGGGATCTGGATTTTTTCGGTTTGGTTTGGGATTTTTGGGATATTTTCCAACCCTAGTCCTAATTAAGCCAAAAGAATCTGTAAGGGAATTGTCTAACCACGTTTTAGCCTCAAATATCCTCCAGATCTGGTCCATAATAGTTTGTTTCAAAAATCGGAACATTTTAAACACATCTTCAGGAGGGGCTGAATCCAAAATAGGTCATCTTGGGCTCCAAAACTCACAATCAAGCCCAAAATGTCATTTTTTTTCAACACTGCGTACTGCTCCTTTATTCTAGTTCTAGAAAATAACTACTCGGTGGAAGAATTTGATATTTTCACACGATCAAGCTAAGCAACTCATGAACGTCCTCCAACTAGAATTACTCCAAAATTTATCCATTTGGTCACGTTTTTTCCTAGAGGAAGTCGAAAGTCCTATATTGAAAATATAATTCAAAGTATCAAAATTCTTCCAAAATAATAGCCCAAATATACTAAGAATAGGGTTAAAAATATAATATAAAATCTACTCATCACTTGCCTCCGAATCAAAGGAAAAAGTAGTATACATTAATGTGAAGAGTATCAAAGATGTAAATACGCTCCAATCTACACATAATACACTATATGCACACCACTACACATAATATGTACAATACATGCATATAACGAGAGAAACTTTGACCACATAGCAATTGAAGCTAAGTTACTCCCGTTTTCCGTTCTTCCCATGCTCACACTTTTCGTTTCACCCATACTGATGGATGGCGTTTGACTTATCTGATCAGGTTGAGAATGAGTTATCTTCAGTTTCGGGCCTTCCTCCCCCTCAGTTACTCCTACTTCCCTTTCTCCTTCAATGGCATCTTTATCTCCATTACCATCATCCCCTTGAATCCTGTTCGGCACATTCCGGCCCATTCGCATTGCGCCCGCATGCCTTCTTTCCCCCAGGGTGGTGGGCAACTGTCTTGGAGCCTCACTTATATCCCTAACAGGAGCCGTTTTAGTCCATTCACCATATCCAGCCATCCCACCTTTCACTGCTTCAAAATTACATTCAGTGTTTGGGTGTCCGATCCTCCCACATCGATATCAGAAATCCTGTAATCTTTCGTACCTGAATTCAATCCATGACTCCTTGTTGTTTTCCTTAGGAAGCCAACACCCTGTAATTAGAGGATTTGCCGTATCCACCTCCACTTTCACTCTCAAAAAACCCCTAGTTTTTTATGGGTCTTCCACTGATTGTACTTTCCCAATCTTTGATGCCAATCGCCTGATATTCGCTTCAGAGCTCAGAAAAGGTGGCACTCCCCTTATTTGAATCCAAAACGAAATTCTTTGCATGTCTATTTCCTCCAAGGCTAGCTCCAAGGGCCATCTTTTCACAGAGAAGTTTTGCTTCATAACCGCCCATGGGACCTGGTTAATTATTTTAGCAGCAGTACTTTCATCATTAACTTTGATAACAAAAGTATTTTCTTTGACCCACTTGATTTCTATTTCTCCCCACCTCTGCCATGAAGATCTGAGGATGTTACGAACCCCCCATTTGTTAAGCGTTTTATTGACCAAAGCAGTACCCACCAATTTAATTCCTTGTTCCATATTAGATATATCCAAGCTTTTCTCTAAGTGGACCACAAGATCTTCCACCCCCTCTCCTGCCATTTGATGCTGAACTTGGTGGTTTGCCCAGGGAATAATTAATTCAGTAGAACACAATAAGAGATAAGCTTTTCTCCCCTTATTCTTTCTTTTTTTTTTTGATATCCCTCTCACTATCCTTCAAGCTGGTAGGGAATAACTGGATGTACAAAATAATCACAATCAGACAAACAGAGGTTTGTATCCCAATATTGAAGCATACCTCTTCATTAATACCCCCAGTGAATAGTCGTAGGTGGTTGGCTTGTGTTGTTGGTGAGGAAAGCCGAAGAGGCTTTTGAAAAATTGCTTCTTTGCCTGGATCTGGTGGAAGGAATTTATGACCTGACCCACACCACTGTGGGATAATGCCCTCTTCTTTCTTCAAAAGGCCAGTGCATTCAAGTCTGGTTAGAAAAATCCCTCTGTTTCTCCTTCCTATCATCCCTGCGAAAAGACCCGCAGACCTAGATCTGACCACGGATGGGATAAAATTGACTGATAGGACGGAGAAAGAGCAGTTGGAAGGTGAAATTAAGGAAAGAATGACCTTTTTAGTGTAGTAAATCCCCCACAAATCCAACCCTGTGTGATTTGATTGACCCACTAAAGACCAAACACAACAATCCAATTATAAAAAACAAAAAAAAAAAACTAGGTTATAAGATAATAAAATAGTTAACTAAACCCTAGAGTATGCACTTTATATACATCACGGCACAAGATTCATGAACACATTGTTATAGAGGTTTCAACAGTTTGACTCACCTTGTTAAAGTGTGATACAAGTTTAGGTCTGAGATTTGTGAAGTAAGGGTATAAACTCCATCTCAAGAAATTATTTTGTGAGGCTAGGCTAGTTCTTTTACATTCTCATATATTTTAAATTTGGCAGTGAGTTTATCATCTTATATAATTGATTGTATATTAGAATGGAGATCAATGGATGAATAATTGCTTGGTGTCTCTCTTGAGAAAGAAATATTTAATGGGATTGATAATGAGCTAATTATCCAACACTCTTAAAACATGAAAGCTTGTGGAGGACAATTGTAAACTTTTTTATGAAAATGTTATCAAATTTCCATTGTTTGTAATTCATACTTAACTGTGTTTTAGTTGATTTTTTATGCCCCCATATGAATAAAACCTTGGCTCTGCCACTGATGAAAGTTATGTGGACGTTCCTTTTACATGGTTAATTGGTGAAGCACCATTTACCTTTTGCACGTCAGATTTTTCTCTCATTCTTGTATGCATCATTGCAAGTCTACCTGTTTCAGTTATCAACCAATTGAGCACCTAGGATTTGTAACCCTCATGTTTTAAATCCTTCAGTTGATTATGTGAAAATTATTGCTAAAAGAATAAATTTATTGAAATACTGGTACAAGCCTAAACTAAACTAAAGGCTAAGCAGCACCTACAGTTAGTTATGAACTATATTGATTTTGATTTTTAAATATCTTGATGATTTTGTATTCAACAGGATGCAAGTTTGACTATCCAATTGATTTGTAAATTTCTGATGGCGAGCTCTCTGCAACGCTTCTTGAGCCATGCTCGTCTTTCTTGAACCGCTCTTGTCCCAAGGTCCAAACCATTTTGGGTGGACGCATTTGTGGAGGTAAAATCTGGTGAGGTAAGGATGGCCCTTGGCATCATCAAAACATATTCATATAGGGGTACAACCCTCATCATTTTCTTTCTACAACTTAATCTGATTAATTATATGTTTTATTGACTTTCCGTGCCGAACATCATCCATTTCTTTGAGTAATCATTCTTATGTTAGGGAAACAGTTTTTGGCATTACATTCCAATTGGGGCCTTTGTGCAAATTGTTATATTTATGTGAAAATAAAAACTTTAGGCCATAATTTTTTTTCTTTCCATGAACACACAAGTTTTGCACAGTCAACAAGCCAATTTTTACTTTGTTTTGTGCTTGGTAATATCAGTTGTCCATTGTCTTTTCTTCTAATTCTTTCATTGGCATACATGCCAGCTTGTAATATTTTTTCCTGCTTCAACTACAACTCAACAAGGATCAGGGTAAGTTGAGAGGTGGAAAATCAACTTTATGTCTAGATGGAATTATGTTCCCTTTTTGTATCATTTTTTGTTCCTTTTTTGTTAGTTCCTATTGAAAGAAATAAATGGGCTTTGATGAATAAAATTCTGTTGTAGGATTTGAATTTTATTTTATCCCCAGGATTTTCTGTACTTGAGGTACTATCCATTGTAGTTAGCATCAATATAAAGGTTTTAACACTTTTTGCATAAGATAGGTCTTTGTGCACCAGGGATTCTGCTCACTGGTGTAAATGATCTGTTAAAAGTCATTCTCTTAGGGATTTTTTTTTTTTTAGTTATCATCAATAACTTAATAGCGATATATAGGTATTATACTCTATGCTTAACGTACTCTTGTGCACCAGGATCTCTGCTAAACAATGTAAATGTTTCGTCGGAAATCATATTGATATTTTCTATTGAAGTTATCTGAATATGTGCTTATATAAGTATGTTCATCTCAACTTTTTTGTGTAGTGACTAATCAAGCCAGTCTTCTTGGAGTCAAATACCAAACCCAAGCTACTTAACAAGGGTGTAATTGCAACATTTTATTACAGCTAGGTTATGAATGTTAGACTATCCAAATCTTTTTAGCATCGAAAGTTGCAAAACTTTCCAAGTTTCCAACATGATAATAGAAGTTCCCTACAGTTCCCTATCAAGTTTTGCCACCTTCACCCTTTCCCGTGCCCTCAGCACAGCCACTGCAGCAAATGAGACTCAAACCTAAAAGCTTAAGCGTATTGCTGATGAGCTCCCTGACCTCACAAAGCTCGAGAGGCATGATTACTTCATCCTTTTCAGGCTGAAAATGGGCCTCAATTGGTATGAACCAACAATCTCGGGTATTGGATCGACATCTTCTGACTCTAGGCCTGTTTCTACAGATTCCAAGGTTGCAGAGAAGATTGCATTTGATATAAAGATTGAGAAATTCGATGAAACGGCAAAGATCAAGATCATAAAGGAGGTTAGGACTTTCACTGACTTGGAACTGAAGGAGGCTAAAGAATTAGTGGAGAAAGTCCATGTTGTGGTGAAGAAAGGGTTAAAAAAGGAAGAAGCAGGGCCTATTGTCGACAAGCTAAAGGAATTGGGTGCTACTGTCGTATTGGAGTAAATTGAATTATGCTATTTCATTTCGTTTATTTCATTGTTTTCTTTTCACTTAGGAATGATAAAAGGGAAGATAATGTATGTGTTCTGGAAGTTAGGATTGTTTCTAAATGTTTTCTCCACCCAATATTTATTTTATTTCTCGATGGCAATTTTTGTGCTACTATTTCGGTCATCTGCACTTTAAGCTAAATATTTTACAGTTATTTTTACACTCAGCGTGAGTGCAATAGGTCTTATGAATATCACTGACTGCTGCCGTGGACTTGTTATTTCTCTCTTAACAGCAAATTGAACTGTATGTTTTCTGCAGTGGAGGAGGATGTATGGTTTTGGTAAGATCGAAACAAAAGGCCTCTTTGCCGCTAGAAACATTGAGAATTGAACTATAAGATTTTGCTCCATCCAATAGAACGCGATAACATTCAACCTTTTATCTTTGGATTTTTATCACAAATGGTCTCTGAAATTTACCCTCATCATCAAGATGGTCTCTAAAATTGAAAATCAATCAATGTAGTCCCTGAAAATAGGTGTCGCAAATCAATGTGGTCATTCCGTCACAATTCTGATAAAAAATTCATTAAATGCTAATGTGGCACATAAATGGACCCCACAAGATTTACAGGTTTTTATCACAAATGGTCCCTGAAATTGACTCACATTATCAAGATGGTCCCTAAAATTGACCCAAACCATCAAGATGGTCCCTAAAATTGAAAATCGATGAATGTAGTCCTTGAAAACAGGTGTCACAAATCAATATGATCCTTCCATCACAATTTTGTAAAAACATTTGTTATGTGTTGACGTGGGTTTAATAATTAATTAAAAAGTTGTCTAAATACCTTTTTGCAAAATAGATTTTTTTTTTCTTATAGGAGAACCTACTCCGAAGAGAGATCTCTTCCATAAATTCAAAGGCACAAGGCTTAACCAAGGCCTAAGAGAGGGTTTGGAAATAGTTTTCAACCAACAATAGATGCACCTTGGTTTTAAACTCATTATCTCAAGGTAGACCTCGCCGTTATTTGAATCACCAGACCACCAGGAAAGTCCCGAACAAGTTCTTTAAGATTAAGATTGTGAGGTTATTGATCGCCTAAATGTTATCGGTGATGTCCCAAAAGTCATTGCCAATTAGCCAAGCCATCACCAAAGGTGATCTCAATCCAGGTTCAATTTGGTGAAGGGTGTTAAAGTGTGTAAAGATGGGTATATTGAGATTTTTTTTAGAGGATAAACAACGAAGGAGGTAGAGGAATGTGGACTGGGATCGGAGGTGATTGCCGGACTAGGTTTTTGGGTTCCCAACTTTTTATTAACTATTAAATTATTAAACCTATTTTTATTTTTTTTTAATTTAATTAGACTTGTGTGATTCATTTATGTGTCACATCAGCACATAACAGAATATTTGACAAAATTGTGACGGAAGGACTACATTGATTTGGGACACTTACTTGCGGGACTACATTGATTGATTTTCAATTCCAATGACCATTTTGATGTCACATGTCAATTTTAGGGACCATTTTGATGTTGTGGGTCAATTTCAAGGACCATTTGTAAGAAAAAATGACTTATGGGATCCATTTATATGCCATATCAACACTTAACGGAATTTTTAACAACATTATGTTGGAATGACCACATTGATTTGCGACACCTATTTTCAAGGACTTTATTGATTGATTTTTAATTTCATGAACTATCTTGATGGTGATGGTCAATTTCAGGGACCATTTATGATAAAAACCCTTTATCTTTTAGAAGGGTTCACTTTGTAACTTCTACAAAAATAGAACTACTTGGGATTCAAAAACTCGAATATGTTCTTCACACTTGTTTATAACAATTTGTTGACATCTAATTGTTGTGTTGTCAATATTGATCGCTATGTAGTTAATTTTTAGTGAGCCCACTTTCAAAGATTACATTTTTCAGCCAAAATGAGGAATTGCATTTGCACATTCTTCCATTAAAGAGCTTTCTGGCGAATTACATTTGCATCTTGCATTGGAGATGCTCAATTAGTTACAAACTAAGTTCATTTTGAAAAGCCACATTCTAACAGTTAGTTCCAATACCATACTGGTTTTTTTTTTTTTTTTGTCAAACAATAGATTTTGTTAGATTAGATGTTAGATTAGCCACAGACGGGGTTCGAACCCACCCTGTCATGTAAGAGCTCAACTCTTGTCCACCATTGTGGTAAAGAACCACTTGCAATACCAGATTGGTTTATCTTGTCCTGTCCTTAGTTGAACTTTTAATTTTTAGATTGGAGATGGTCTTAATTTTGTTATGCACATAGGCCTCATTTACTACAATGTGTCAGATAGCTTAATTTGTGCATGTGATAGTATTAAGTATTTGGTTCTGTGTCAAATTAAAAAGGTAAGAAAATAATAGATACCTCGGAACAAGTAAGACTTATCAACAGACTCTCTAGCCTTTCTTTTTCCACCTAATTGATTTATGTTCATTATAGAGTAACAAGATGATTTGAAGTCCTTCATTTTTCCAATCCAATCGCCTTTTTTATTTTGAAAAATATCCAATCGCCTTTTTTATTTTGAAAAATAAATCTTTATCAATATACTGCCTTCTTCTACACATTTATCCAGAAGACCAAGAAGATCAAATACTTCGGTGGAAGATTTAGAAGTCAATGAAACCATGTAAACAATATAAACCTAGAAGAGACATTGGAGAGGATAATTAGACTTGAGATAATTGACTCGATGCATTTGATTGATATCAAAGGTTACAATATATAGGAATACGAACAGACCTAATTTAGGTACCTAGGTAAATTAATACAGTTCAATCTACAAGGATACAATACATGTACTCCAATAAAGTCTAACTAATTCTAGAAAATGAGAGATCACGGGCCTAACAGAATCAAACGAGTGACTATTTACTACATAAGTCGACAAAACAACTGATTTTATATTATTGTTCCTATCCAATATGCTTTATACAACATACCAAACTAGACTATAAATATGTAGATGAAAAGGGACTGCCGAAGTCAATGAAGGCTCAGGAGGATCACTTGACCTTTCTCACTTCCAAGTTTCTATTATATGATTGTTTGTATTTGGTTTTTTTGTATCAAAATATTTAAAGTTTTGACCCTTCTGGTCCATTGAAAAGTATGATACTCCTGCATCTTCAAAGATATAACTCATGAATAAATTTACCATTTTGTATTTTTTTTTCTCTCTATTGTGTCAATAATCAATGTGGATGCAAATTTCTTCCTCCTTGATCTTGGACAATTTTGCACCTACAAAACAATTAACACCTTAGGTTAAGGCCAAGAGCCTCACGCGCCCACGATGAATGGGGGGGGGCTTTGGCCGAAGAACCTCTGATGCCAAAGTTAGAATTTAGAGAGAAAAAGTGTTTAGAGAATTTTGGGATTTTTGCCAAAGTGTTGGAATTAGCTTTTTGGTGAGAATGGGAGTATATTTATAGGGATAGGAGGTGGCTAGGGTTTTTAGGTTTAATTTAGGTTTAATTAGCCAATTTATTTGGCTATTAAACATAAGATGAATGTTTTGGTGGTTTTTGAATTTATTGGGTAATAAAAAGGAAGAAATGGTGAAAAAGGTAGAAAAAAGTGATGGATTAGGTTTTGAAATGGGGATAGCCGGCCATGTGGTGTTTTAGGGTTGAATTGGATGTATTTTGTAGTTATTTGGATATAATGGATGGTTTAATTGACAATTAATGGGTTAATTAGGCAATAAACCCATTAATTAGCCAATTAACATAATTTAAAAGGAATGTGTTTGGGAATTACCTTGTAGAAAGGATTTGATGAGATGGACTTTGAATTGTTACCTATTTTGGGCACTTCTGTCTTGGTTGAAAGAGGGTTGCCCGCTGCTTACGCGTAGGAACCTCGTTGTACTGCAAGGGTATTTTTGTCATTTTTGTCCAAAAATCCACGTGTCGCCCTGTGAATATTTTTGGCTCCACAAATGCCCCCACACCTGTTGGGCTGCTCGCAGAAAAGGGCAGCAGGTGTAGAGATCTTCTTGCTTTAGGAAACTTAGGACTACTTCCTATTTTGATGTAGATTCTCTCTTTAATAGGAAATTAGATCCTTCTAGGAAAGGGAAATAAATTTCTCTCAAAGCCTATTTAAATCCACCTTAAGTGGGTTATTAAATCAACTTTGGAGAGCGATTTATTCTACCCTACAAGAGAGAGATAGCTTAGAGGATATTTGTTCCCCCTCCTCTAGCAATCTTCTACATCTTGCCCGTGCAAAGGACCGTCTTTCGTTGATTTCTTCGTCTTCTTCGTGGATAGTGCTACCGTGGGGCAGCCGTCGGGGTGGTGCGGCACGTCGGCTGGCATGGGCCAGGAGTCGACTCGGCATGGGCCGATGAGGTATTGTGGCAGGGACCACTGCTTTAAGCTGCTCGACTTGGCTAGAACCAAGGGCAGCTTGTGTGGCTGGGACCTCGGATTGTGGCACTGGGGCGCAGTGTTAGGCAAGTCACATGGCTCATGTCTTTTTAGGCTTTTGGACATGACTCGAGCTAGGCTGGTGATTGAGAGAAATGAAGAGGTTGCGAACCTCATGAACTGCTGGAATGTTGGGTTGAACTTCCCTGCTAGGTACCACGAATGACGTTAGCTACTTTAACTCTTTTCGTCAGGAGAAACGTGGGCTGTTCCCAAAAGATGAATAGGATCAAAGCGGATGCACTGGCTCGTCCAATCACTGTTGTGGATCCTGCTGTAAGTGAAGGTGGGAAAATGGATCTTCTCTGCTTGCTTAAGAGATGCCGGCTGAGAAAAAACCAAAGACTTCTTTCGCTGCTCATGAGGGTCCGTTTGCTACCAAGAGGTATGTGATTGACATGACTTCTTCCAATGGGAAGAAATGTAAGGCTGCTAGATCTGGGCATGTGGCGTCTTCCATGTTGAGAATGGCTAGTACAATTGTGGATAAGATTACTCAGCGTAAAGGTTTTA